TCTAAGAAATTATTAATAAGAAAATTCAGATATAATATAAAATTATCTTTTTGACTGATATAACTTTATATTGGTATCTTAATAAAGTTAAGTAGCTAATAGTATCTTATCTTTTGAAAACTGAGATACCTTTGTCACAGTTCTTAGAGATATATTTTAATTATCATATTATTAATAATATCTTCACAAATAATTATATTTTCTTTGTTAAACTGATTTAGTACAAGACTATAGTATTAAATTTAGAAATATAGTTAGCCAAATAACTGATATAGATGATCTAGACCAAGTTATATACTTCATAGAAGGATTGAAATCTGTTATCAAAATAAAAATTAGTTATCAAGCATCAGAAATTTTAGAAGATACTTGAAAGTTAGCTATTTACTATAATATAGCAATATATAAACAAGATAAATTTCTAGATCTATCAAACAGAAATAATAATAATCATTACTCTCAGAATCAATATAAAAATTATCAAAATAATATCCTATACCTATGAAATTAAATCAGATAGAGAGTTATTATAATAATAGAAAGAATAACAATAACAATTAGAAGAATAATAAATCAAAAAATATATGCTATAACTATAACAAACCAGATTACTTTGTCAAAAATTATTATTCTAAATCAAAGACAAAGATTATAAATATTAAAGATAAATAAGAAGAATCTTCACAATTTTATAAAAGAGTTAAATTTACTCATCTTGAAGATAATAAAGAAAAATTATTAAAATTTAATGGCCAAGTAAATGATAAACTAGTATGAATTTTGCTAGATAGTGATATATCAAGAAACTTTATTGATTAGAAGTTTATTCAAAAGAATAAAGTTAAGTTATAAAAAATAATTTCAGTAACTGTAAAACTTGCTAATAGCAAGAAAATAACTGTCATCATTATGATAAGAATTGATAAGTTAAAGTTAGATATCTATAAAATACACAAGATAGATGCATAGATATTAAAATTATAAAGATATAATCACATCTTAGATAAATCTTGATTATTTTATATCAACTTAATTATAAACTAGAGAAATAATATCATTATCTTTATTTATAGATCAAAAATAATAAAAGTACAAGCTAATAATAAAGTAAAGTCTAAAGATGACATAGTAAGTAAGTGATGCTTATTTGTTACCTGTTACAATATATTGCAACTCTAAAATTTTACTAGTCACAACTAGTTGCAACTGAATAATACTTTATTTGTCATCATATTGTAATAGTTGAGAAGTCATCTTTAGTAAAGTTCCAATTCTAGCTATAATTCAATTTATATTTCAAGATAATAAATTGCAAATCTGTCAATAGATATAAAACTCTTTACTATATATCTTAATAATACTAAAGGTAAAGAAAAAGCAAAAGAAAAATCACTTTTATCAGAAGTATTAGATATTAAAAAAAAATACAAAAATGTATTTTCAGAAATCTTATCAAATTAGTTATTACCTAAAAGAATAATTGATTATAAAATTAATCTCCTTCAGAATTTGAATCATTATTCAGATCTATCTACAGACTTTCTTTCATAGAGATAGATAAATTCAAGAAACAATTAGTTAATTTAATATAAAAAATTTTTATTTATCTAAGTGTCTCATCATTTAGAGTATCAGTTCTTTTTGTATATAAAAAGAAAGGTATATTAAGATTATATATTGATTATAAAGCTTTGAAAAAATTATCATCAAGAATTACTACTTATTATTCAGAATTAATAAGTTAATAGATAGACTTATAAAATTAAAATATTTCTTAAAACTAAATCTATATTCAGAATATTATTAAATATATATTACAAAAGAAGATATATAAGTTCTTAATCCTATCTTTTTGATTAATTAATGTATCAGTCATCTTTATAATACTAATAAATAACATATTTTATGATTATCTAGATAAGTTTATAATTATATACTTAAATGATATTCTAATATATAATAAAATCAAGAAAAAATATATACAATATCTTCAAATAGTCTTGAAAATATCATACAAATATAAATTATATATCAAGTAGAAGAAATATAATATAATTCAGCAGTATATAGAATATCTTGGATAATTATATTAACAGATAGTATCTCAATTAATTAAAGAAAAATTATTGCAATTAGAGATTAATCAGTACTAATTAATATATCAGAACTAAAGATAGTTTCTCAATTAGTTGCAGCTTATAACAGCTAATCAGAGAATTATAATAGAGTTACAGTAGCCAATCAGAGAATTACAATAGAGTTATAACTAGTTATAGCTTCCATTACTAATTAGAACTTCACTTATTTCTAGAACTTGCAAGTTATTACAGAAAATTTGTGAAAGAATTTTTAGCAACTATATCATTACTAATAGTACTCTTACATAAAGATCAAGAATATGAATGATCTATAATAGCATAATAAATATTTGAGTAACTAAAGTAATATCTTATCTTACCACCAGTTTTATTATTATCAGATTCAAAACTACTATTTATAATTATAACAGATATCTTAGATTTTGTTATAGGAGCTGTGTTAAGTTAAAACCAAGACAAGAGTAATCAGCCTATAGCTTTTGAGTCAAGAAAACTTTTACCAGCTGAACAGAACTATTTAGTATATGAAAAGAAATTACTTACAATTGTATATGCTATTAGACTCTGAAAGTTTTATCTAGAAGATCAGAAGTTTATAGTTATCACAGATTATATCTCTCTGAAATATATCAAAATACAACATAATTTTTTAAAGAGATAAGCTCACTGATTAAAAACTCTATAGGCAAGTAACTTTGAAATCAAGTATAAATTTAACAAAGATAATATAGTAGCAGATGTACTTTCTTGCCAATTATATCTGGCAAATATTTCAGTTATTACCACCAATCTTGTTAATAAAGAAGACTTGAAGTATCAAGAAGATAAATACTTTGCAGAAATTTATTAAGTCTTGAAGAACTTTAGCAGTATCAATTCAAAGTAACAAATTAAGATAAAGAACTTTAAGTTGAAAGAAAAATTGCTTTACTTGAAGAATATTAATTGCTTAGCTATTCCAGCTGACAAAACTCTGAAAGCAAAAACATTATTCAAATTTTATGATGTACCAATAGCAGAATATATTGGAATAGATAAAACTTATGTAGCAATATCTTAACAGTTCTATTAGCCCAAGATGAATAAAAGTATTCACAAATATATTACCAGTTGTAAATCTTGTTAACACAATAAAGTAGTAATCAACAACCCTCAGGATTATTACAATCACTAGCCATTCCAAAACATAGATGGAAATATATCACCATAGATTTTATAGCTCAACTCCCAACCATCAAGTCTGAATATGATATAATAGTAGTCTTTGTAGACAAACTATCAAAAAGAGCACATTTTGTACCAACCATAACCACATTAATAGCACCTGATATTACAAAGATTTTCTTTAAAATATCTTTAAATTGCATGGCTTACCTACAATTATAATATCAGATAGAGATGCAAAATTTACAAGTCACTTTTGGAAGTCTTTTTTGAACAACTAGGCACAAAACTTGCTATGTCTACAGCATTTCACCCTCAAACTAATGGCCAAATAGAAAGATTAAATAGAATCTTGAAAGAGATGTTGAGGAAATAACTTAATTGGGGGAGAACAATACTTTTTTACTCATCGTCTAATCCGTCGGCTGGTGTATCCGACGATTAACTATTCTTTTTCTCTTTTTTTTGGTGGGCTTTTCTTGCTTGGTAAACGACAGACTATCCTAGTGATGTTAATCGTTTCAAAAAAGTTCAGTTTGGGTTTCAAACTATCAATTCATGAAAGATGAACCGAATTAAACCAGGTTTTATGGCTTAATAAAACTGTTTATCAGTTAAAAACTCAGTGCGATAACCCGTTTCCACTAAATGAATAGCGAAAATAACGTTTTTGAAGGTAAAACAAAACTACTGAGTTTTCGTTGTATTAAAGTTAAAACTTCAAGACTATTGTTATGCGTATACAGTAAATTCAACAATATTTAGCACTAGGAAATAATCATTTTTAAAAAACAGGTTTCTTAACTCAAGTAATTATATATCGATTTTGATATTTAATGAGTTTCAACGTTAATAAACATCATGTTAAATACGTAACGAAAAGATTTGCGGCCTTTTTGAAAAACAATTCAACAATTGATTCGTTGACTGTAGTGATGGGCAGATACGCGAATGGTCGAACATTATACATACTATACGCATTATGTATACATGTCGATATGTATAGTTTGAGACTTTCCAATTTACTATGCGCTATGCGCTTAATGCACACTATGTTGTTCTATATATATATATATGTATACATTACATGTACAATCACAAAAAGTATCGCCTGGTTCAAAGTTATATAATAAAACATATAAAAAATGAAAATTTTCATATTTCTTTTAGTAATTATTTCTAACTTTTATACCATTTTAAGTTAATCGATTGTAGTTTTCAAAAAATGGTAAACGACTTAAGATGCAAGATTACATGTATCAAATCAGGCGATACATGTACTTTCTGTACATATAACCATCCATAGTGATCGACAAAAAAATGATCAGCAAAATGTATATCCGGCTGCTTGAGGTAGACTTTTTTCTGGATCCAAACGATTCTTTCTGGTTTGTCCGTAAATTTTACCAACAAAATATTTGTTCACTTGGCACGCTTGTTACCTGAACTACCAAAATAATCTATTTATTATTATGGGAGATATTGCATGAAATGCTCGACCTTTTTAGATTATGTTGTAATTGAATCAGCTTCAGATGTGCTTGCAAAATTGTCAAATGAATCACAAGTTTCCGTGTCACCGATTACATGTATTATATTTTTGTGTTTTTGAAGAATTCATTTTTCATACTAAATTCACATTATAAATTTAAAAATAAATTACACAAAACCAGTTTGATGTAATGTGTTTTTATTAATTAACCAAAATTTATCACGTAAATATTTTCGCATCGATGATTATGATCCACGCAAGGCAATTATCAAAGTACCCAGTAAAACCCACACAACCAGCGCAGTGGCACACCATGCGATCCATTTCAATAGCCGTGCCTTTAATGGTTTTCTCCACGTATCACCACTTACGCCCCCGCCATACATTATCACGTCTTCGCGATTTTCGTCAATTTTTAATATCCAGATCAAGATGGCTGATAATGCGTAGTATCCGTCCATGTGGAATGCAGGCAGCATGTTTAGAACGCAAAGACCGAGTGAGACGGATGTCATGTAACTAATGTTATGTATAATTGAAATTTGTTAGATATTGCATAACGAATAAATTTTATTTCGCAAAATTTACCTTAGCATCAATTCACAAATGAGTGGAATCCATTCTGGAATAAACCACCAGCGAGGTTGTAAATCACTTACTTGCACTAAATGGAATATTGATGAAAAAAAAGCCTTATCAAAATAATAAGCCAAAGCTCCATGAAATCGACACCAACTTACCAATTTCTAAAATTTCTTCCGGCCGTCCAAAAAACAATACCATCTTCTCTTCAAAAACTTCACCATCCTGTTGTTCCTTCGTCTCGGCTACCCACGGAGAATCGCGATAATAGATGCGTAATAGTTTTGTGGAATCAATCGGTGTATAAGGCACGACGCAATAATGACCAATTGAAGATGCTACACAATCTGTATCTGTTGAGCATCGATGAGCATCTTTACGAACGGTGGGTACAGATGGAAGACAAATCAACTGCATATTCGAGAATGTTGAATAAAAGTGCTAAAGTGCAAAAATTTTATTTCACCGCGACATAATTAATATGAAGGTTTTGTTTTACTTGTTTTCCGCCATCAATATGTTCAAAGCATGATAATGATTCATTCTTTGATTTTCCGAATGGGAATTCAGGCGATATGTCACAACAGTCTAACGTTGAAGCAGCGTTTGCTTCGAGAGAACAAAATCCCTTCCAGTCGGAGCCATCGAATATACTGTCATGGTTTAATAGAAAGTTGTTCCATTGTTCAAGCGAGGATTCCAATAATGGGTAATCGTCGAGACGAGTGATAAGGTTTGAAGGTTGCAAATGATGAGAAAGTGGTGTATCCTATCATCATGATTAGAAGTTAAATTTCGAAAAGTTAGGAAACCAAATTTTCGATCGAAATTTACCTTTTCCACGGAGATGATGTTAACTCCCCATCCATCTACTGGCTTCCAGAAAGTTGATCCCATTACAAAAGGAACAACTCCACCACTGATCAATAATGCACCAAGCAAATAAAGTACAGCATTATGCCATACACCTGCGCAAATTATTTTTAATTGCTCTAAGCAAGGACGATGAGAGAGTTTATGAACCGGAATATCCACAAACGCACCCGGGTATAGAACATAAAGGAATATTCCAATCGATTTCATCGGGACAGAATACCTTAGAAAATAAAAAAAGAACCCATTCAATTAAATTTGCAGTGAAATAAAATAAAAAATTTGTCAATATAAAATGTAAAATATAAATTTATAATTACTTGGCAGCTGCTATTGCATGACCTGCTTCATGAAATATTCCACATACAAGCAATGAGAACAAAATATAGACTAAATGTGACCATGGTATTGTAAGTCCAGGAATCTTTAAAGCAAGTAAAAATCAATAAGTTATCAAAAAACAGATGCGATTCAATCAAAAACTCGGACCGAACTTACTAAAACATTTGTGAAATGATGGATGTGAGTTGAAGCTGTTCCAGCGCCTGGATTTACTCCTAAAATATCTCGTTTAGAAATAGCTTTGCTAATAATTTCCGGACGTTCTGTTCGTTGCATAAACAAGTCAAGGAAAACCTCTCGCGCGGCAAAAAGCATAAATCCAATTCCAATCATCAATATCCCAGCCCCAACAAATACACCCAACTTGAACCAAAAATCCCAAAATCGAGAAGCCCTAAACGCCAACTTCTGAAAATAATAATTCAGCTGAGTTGTCGAAATACGAAAATAAAAATATTTCAATTCAACGGTGGTCTTGTATCGTTTAATGTGTCTTGGAAGTTGAGTTTCATCGTCGAGATCAAAGGTAGTTAATACAGTATCGGAAGAAGAAAGTGCTGGTTGTTCCTTTTTTTTTGAATTACAATTTATTTATGTTGCAACGAATAAATATCAAAAGCTTTTATAATAAATAAATACCTTTTCAAAAATAAAAATCTTCAATAAAAATATTATAGAGTGCACTAGACCCCAAAAGCCAAAAAAATATAATAAATTCTGTATAATTTCCATGTTGATATATTTTTCGATAACGATAAGTTATTTTTCCTTTTTTTAATCAATTGTCATCGTTATATCAACGGCCGATCAAAAACTCGTAGCACATTCTACATTTTGTTTCTTATAAATTTTTGGAATAATAATATCATGCTATTTTGCATAATCAATTATTGTTCATACATGTATTAACTTCATATAATTCCAATCAAGCGCTAATAGCAAAACAAAATTAATAAATAAATGAATTTTTATTAATTAATTAAGTCTACAAATGTCTCAAAATCTTAGATATAGATTACCAAATATTACTTAAAAAGAATAAAAAGAAAGATCTTGATTTACTAGTTTATATTATTAATCTGAATTCAAAGTTTGATGTTAAATTATAATGATAACCAAAGATAATGCATCAGAGAATCAAGATTTTTCAGTCAGATTATTATGAAAAAACTATCATGTTGTCTGTGGCGAGCATTGGTACCGGAAAAACAACGCCGAGTAAGATTTCTGCAAGAAAAGTTGGATGGGGAGTTATATATATGAACCTCAATGGGTGATTAAATGATTTGGAAGATTGAGTAGTGCGCTTGGTAATGCTATTAATTTCAAAGAAATGTATTCATTTCACGGGGCAATTGGCGCGAAAATTTTGGATTCAGATAATGATGAGATTGCAATAGCTATTTTGTTTGATAATTTTAATCAGTTATCCTTTTTATAGTTCGATTTGGGGAAAACGCTCTAGATACTTTTAAGTGTGATGCCGCTGTATATAAAGTGAAGTATAAGAAACCAGCGGTTCTTATGTATGGTAACGTAAGCCTTTTCCACAAAATTCGCCCAGAAATTATCGATCGTTTTCAAGACAATGCCAAAGAAAGCGCTGATACTTAAAAATATGTTGTAGTATTTGTCATTTCTTGCAGAGCCTGGGCAAATCACGAGGCAGCGAAGCCACTCATAAAAACTTTGTTGGAGAATAATGATAAGCAGATTTAGATGTTACATACTTCAAAAAATAGTTAAAAACGATGTGTTATTGGATAAACTGTTGATACTTGATCGTACGATGCTATATTCAGGAAAATGATAGAGTTCAATGTCACTGATAAGAAATATTTTGATTTTTTTAAAAATAAATTTTAATATTGCTCTGTTTATACAGTAAAAAAAGATATCAATAAAAACCTTCGATGTAAAAAATTTATATTATGATTTGCGCAATTCGGGATACTGTAATTGAACATTCTCATTAAAATACTCCTATTCTTGGCTATAATGCCTAATCGTAACGTGATAGATTTATACACAGAATGGATTATCAAAGGAATTTACCTGATGTTGTACGCCTATATTTTCTTGACTTAGTCATTTAAGGTTAGCGCTAGTGTTCATTCTAACTTGATATATACATATTGAACTTAACTTCGAAATAGACAATACTGTAAAATTTTTTATTCATTGGATATATATCATCGATGATATTTGTCATCGTCAATACAAAAAAGTTGTAAATATTTCGAGCTCTTTCCATTTGCTTTTGGATTGTAGGTCTTGGGGAGCTGATCATGTTTTTCCAGGTGCTCATAGTAAATAAGACGTTTCCCTAGTTCTTTTCTAAAGGCAATAATAGCATCTTAAAATTACGTGATGCGCGTCATTTGTATTTCGGCATTAAAATTTTTAAATACAATCTTATTCTCACTACCTCGTCTCGATTCTCTTTGGAAAAAAAGAGGTGTTACATGAACTGAATTACCATTTCATAATTGTTTAAGCATTTTCCCATGAACATAATTTTCTTCAAATCATTCTACTATTTCATTTACCTTCAAAGGCCTCTCTAATTTCAAGATATCAAATACTGCGGATATTTCTTGATGTGACAAAACAAATATGCAACATAATATTAAAATGTTTATTTTCATCATATTTGGTTGTCAGTCCACAATTTTTCACCATCCAATTTGTTTTAAATGAAAAATCCTTTATTATTAACACCAAAGCACTTAAAATATGACGTATTAATTGCTGTTTTTCAAAATCTGTAAGAATTCTTGATGATTTTAGTGAATATTATTTTCTTTCACGAAATTGGTTAGTTTTTGAAATAATTTTTTATATAACGTAAAGCTCCGAAAATAAGCAACCCCTCAATTTTGGTCCAAAAGTCTTGAAAAAGTTGAACAAGCAATCCATTTTTTGTTAATCAATTTTTCTGAAATTTATTATATACTTATTTATTTTCTAAATTTAAATCTGAAATATCATTTTTATCACTATCTCATTATTTGTATGGACATCATAATTGCAATATCAATTTAGAAATTCTTTTTTTAATTCCCAAATAAAATTTGCCATTTGGACCAAAATAAGCAACTCCCTAAAAATTCGGTTTCAAATTGATGATGTAGGCGGTTGCTTATTTTTGGGACTTTACGGTAATTCTTCAGACTTGCTGGTCATTAATGTATAGACTAGTGGAAGAATGCTAGAGTTGTCACCTACGTCAATTGGTGCATGAATGGTATATAATTGATGAAAATTTGTTGGGACTGTTTTGAATGTACCATTCATAATCCAAAATAATGCATGAGTTAAATAAAATGTCAAATCTTTGTTTTTATAGTAAATAAAAGAATTCATACTTGACCAATTGTAGAATAGAGTCTTTTACTAAAAATAATTCACCATCCAGAGTAGAATGAAGTGAGACTGAAACATTGATTTCATTAAGAGTTTGTTAGTTTCTCGGGGTTTTCTTTAAGAATTCTTCTGAGAGATTATGGTTATGTTGGCATTTATGTTCTAACACATTTAATTTGCATGCGAAGTGCATTATTTGGTGGCATATAAGGTGAAAATATTTTTTTGAATGATTTGTATTGGTCGATCACTTGTTTCTTGGGCTTGCTGCTTGAGCAACTATTTTTGCAATATTAGAACTGCTTGCTTGAGGAGGATGATTTTGCTCAACAAATTGCTTAAACTGATGCAAACCATCAAGAAAGGTTGTAATTACTCGACCTTTGCAATTTCTAGTTTCCATTTTTCACAACAACAATAAAATGTATTCTCCCGATTTCGAACTTTAATCATTAAATAACCGCGGACATTGAGTTTGTCATTTCCTCTTTGAGAAGGCACAGCATCACAAATTTCATTCATATTTTTTATTTTTTTATGAATTAAAATTCATAAGTAGTTTCTTTTGCGCAAATTGAATTTTTATGTAGGAGAAGTATCTAATTCCTGTGACAACAATGAATTGGTCGATATGTTTCAATTGATTTATAGAGCTTTGAAATGACAAAAGTAGGTAAAATCAAGGCCAATTTTTGTTTACTTGATAAACTGTCTGTATAAATAAATTACAAATTATATTGTGATATAGTGCGATAAGAATTAAATGTTACGAGTTTTACAAAACTTTTTTTTTGTCTAAACAAAATTATAAAATTGATTAATTTAAAAATCGAATAAGAATAACCCTTTGACTCAATTAAAACTCCAACAAACAAATTATAAGTATGATATATTGAGTATGGAAATGGTTAAATGACTGCATTTATCACAATCATTTGTATCTATTGATTTTTTCATTTTATACTAACGTTATCCTCTGTTTATATCAGCTCATCGTTTGTTGTTAACATTTGATGATTAAAATTAAGCCAGTTTATATCCCCAATACTTTTCCAACATTTTCAAAGTTAAATGTTCAAGAGATGAAAAAAATGTATTTTCATTTGTTCTTTAGTATTACTATCATTGTTTATGACGAGATTATCATTAATATCAACTTTTTTAACTTTTGTGCTGAAGATTACAAATTCGCTTTTTATAATCCTATTGATGGTTAATAATAGTGTATATAATATCTTTTATAATGTTAGATTAATATTTAAAATCTTCGATTTTATGATTTTGTGTGTAATTATTCTTCTAAATTCTTGCTTCTGTAATATCTAGCCAATAATATAATCAACTAATGCGATATTTATTAAACAGAGAGAGAAAAAAGAATATAATTATTATAAATAATATCCTGAACAGGATAACAAAGAATGAAAACAGTTACATGATTAAGATACGGAAGTACATCCTTTATTGCGCACTTATTTTCTTATCAATATAATCAAGGAAATTTCATTGACAAGAATCGAGCTTTAACTTAATATTTCATTAATCAATAAACTTTCTATGTGGAATAAAATATAGATGCTCTCGCATAAAGTATATGTACACGTGCATGCGTGCATATATTGTCATAAATAAAATTGCCATTGAAAGTTGATCAAATCAATTGATCAGTATAAATCACGAGCTCTTTTTTATGTCTTATCCTTCCTTATAAAGTAATCGCACCAATGAAATCGGTGAAACCGTGAATGACTATCGCTATTAAATTACAAAAACAGTCTTTTGTAAATGATCCCGTATCATTGATGCAATGCTATACAAAATTCTCTATGATATCTCGCAATCAAGGTACACAAATTATAACCACCGATATGGACGATGAGTATGCAGATACCTGTAATTCCTTGAAAAATCTTGCGACTAAGCCTTTTAGAATTATGCTCAAAAACGGATTTTCTTTGCTGTTGCATTTCCAATGGGCCTTTTTTCATTATAAAAAATCTCCTCGAACGTTTGCAACTGAATTTAAAAATACCAATTAAAATCCCGTTAAATTATTGCTTCACCTCTTAATTTTCAATAATGACATCCGTTCACGTTTATACGCCAACTGCAAAATTTCTTTTAACCGATAAAGAAGATACGGAAGACATGGTCGCTGATGTAAAAAAAATTAGTGAAGATATAATTAAAATATTGGAGTCGGATGCAGCTGGAATGGTTATAGACCTTTTCGTGACTAATGGTCACATATACCTTTCGTATCTTGCTAAAGTAGTTAAAGGAGTAGAAATGCTCGATGAATTTATTGAAAAACATGAAAAAGAGGAACCAATTGAAGAAAAATTACTTCGAAATATCGATCGAAGCATCACAATATACGCATTAAACGATTTGGAATCTGATATAAAGTCGATTGAAAATCGCGTTAAACGCATGATGAAAGATGATCTTTCCATCGAGGATCGAAAGCGTGAAGTAGTGCCTGCATTCCACAGTTGCCAAAAGATCCTTTTTAATTTTGAGAAAACTGACCATGTCTTTTATGCGCATCCGTTACTCACCACGCCCTGCTTGATTGGGTTCATCCGCTGTTATCTTTCAGTGATTGCAATCGCGGTTTCGATTGATCCCACTTATAATGACGAATCCATTTGTGAAAAGGAGCGACTCAAAAAAGTGTTGGAGGTCTACAAAGAGAATACTATCGACGCAAGACTCAAGATAATCGAAATTATAAAAATAAAAGAAAATGCTATCGACTTTACCGCCGTTAAGAGCGACATTAAGGAACATATGAAAGATTGGAAAACGATTCAGCATAATGCTAAACGTATGCTTGACTTTGATATGGTTAAAGAAAGATTTAAAGAAAAAAAAAGTGAATTTTCGCGTGACTTAGATATTGTACGAGATGAATTTGGATATGGGAATAAGAAAAAACATACTTGGAATCGTAAAGCTTGGGATCAGCAAAATCACACAAAAGATAATCTCTCTTATCCAATGGTGGTGAAAATGGTGTATGAGGCATTTTTCAATGATCTAATAGAATGTATTTAATAATTCTAAGCTCCTTAATATATTATAGTGTAAAATTAATTGTAAAACGGTATATTTTGATTACAATGGATTTTGTGATTATATTAAATTACTCTTAAGTTTTAGTATTTTTTGGGTTTTATATTTTTATTCTATTTAATTAACAAAAATTATAATAAATATCTTCAGTGATTATCGTTATTTTATTGCTCAAAGGCTCGTTAACATGTCATAATTTAGCACATAACATTCTAATTTATACAAATACCTGCAACTTGTGATATTTTAAATTTAGTTGATTAGAAAGTCCAAAACTCGGTAATAATGATTCCAAGATGAAAGTTCTGATGAACGAATAAACATGCATTTGAGTTTTTAACCCAAGTTAATTGTTCGTATTTGAATATATAACCTTTGGGGTTAAATCTATTCCGGGAATCTTGGCCATTAGAATTTAATTCGTTTCATGAACTTCAAAGCAATTCGTAATCTCAGCACAGCTTCTTGATATTGATTAAAATCGTTTGAACTTATTTTCTCCATATATTGACAATTGCAATTATGAGTTTTTATATAATACAGTTGCTTACATTATACGTATATACGCTAGAAAGATATGAGATGAACAATATCTGTACATAAATAAATGTACATGTGATCTTTTTATTTTTTTTATGATTTAAGTTAAAAAAAAAGAAAATGAAAACCACACATCCTATATGAACACCTGTTGACATTTAATTAGTCTTAGAAGAGAACGCATAGCTACACACACAGCATATATATAAAACATACATTCTCCATCCCTCAGTGAATGTGTGTTACTATGTGTGTGCTGGTACTGTCACGTGTATCGGCTGCTAAATTCAAAATAAAAGTTATACTTTGAGGACTTAAATGTCAAAGGAAGTAAACAAAAGCAAGCGAAAGATGAGAAAGTGAGTGGATAGTAACTTAGCTTTGAGCATGCATCAGGAAGTTTTGAAAATGACGTTATATATTGCAACTTAATGCTAAATATCATATCGATAATTTTTCAAATTCAGAGGTAGATCACGTGATAATTATCCAATAAAATCACAAGATCAAATTCACAGAAGTTGATTACGTGATAATTATCCAATAAACCACAAGATCGTGTATATTACATATTAAAGCTTTTTTATATGCAGACCATTTATTACATGATTTTGGGAGGGAGTGAGGAGAAAGCAATAATTGTTAGAAAATGTGATTTTTGAAGATAGAATTGTTAAGAAATATATATGAAAAAGTAGTGAGAATAATAAAAATTTAACAATATTAACAATAATTGGAAATAAAATGAAACAATAATGATAATAAAAATTATATTGAAAATAAATGATACTCGGCTTATTTTTCATGAATAATTCTTAAATGATATGATATTTGAATTTCATCGATTTTTTCATATACAATTTTTTCTAAAATGACAGATTCTTTTTGATAATTGTCATGAAATTATTAATATTAAAAGAATCAAGCTCAAAGATTCATAATAATTAATAGATGTTTTCATTTTTTTTTAGATAAAGTGATGGATCAAACCTGAAAATTATAGTAATATCAGTGTAAAGGAGTCTTATTGTGATATTATAAATTGTATCAATATTATAAACACAGACTATCTGGTATTTTTATATGGAATCTGTATTTTTAATGACATATTCAGCTACAATATTGGTTAAACTCTTCCTGTAGACATTTATTCATCTAAAGACTTTTCTTGCATAGCATCGAATCTTAGCAAGTGAGACCAATGCTAATGCTTCTGGTACTAATTTTTCAGCAAGCCTCTCATGTATAATTACAGTTTGTTTATGTATGGTATACTGCTCTGTCATCCCAAAACTTTTCAATATAATTAAGTTTGTAATGAAACTTTAAATAAAAGATGACTTTATAATTTCACATAATAATAATTTCCCTCAGCTAAAATTTTAAGTCTGGTTAACTTTGCAAAGTTACAAGTATATAATAGTCAGTTTACTCTGACATTTTTGCTATATTTTCCGCTCAATGCTTGTCTTTATAAACCTCTCTTCAGTAGCACTTTGTCTTATTTTTTTGGCTCATCTCTCAATATTAAATTGGGATGATCTTGAGAAACTACTATCTCTTGCTATTATCTATTAAATGCTGTCGTTATATTTAATATTATATATAAAATATAATTAGATATACAGGATTGTATATGATACTAAAATTATAATATATTAATCTCATTTTAGGTTGGATTTTAAATTAATTTATGATGTCATTAGTCAAATAGAAATTATTTTTTTGTACAACTTTTTTATCAAAAATCATTTCCATCCATCATCGGTGTAATCATCACACATACTTCTGCTAAAAGATTTGGATCTTATATTTGCTTCTCATGTATAATCAAACTTTAATGGCAGTTTATTTATCAGTGTAACTTAAAAAACAACCTTAAAATTAAAAAAAATAATTTATATGTAGTTTTCACTTTTTTCCATCGTAAAATTAAAAAACCTCTCTTGCTAACCGACGAATTACTGTTAGTGCGGTTTGGGTGTGTGACCGCAATTTCCCGGCCTAAGTGATGTCCCCTCTTCTTGACATACAAGCATGTAAAACAACTAAGAGAGAGAACTCAATAAATTCTGTCTATTCACATTCTGAACATTCAAGAACTCTCCAAAACTGAAGTCCATTTAAATTCCATCTTTATTTTATTTTAAATTTGATTCGCATAAAAATTTCAGAATAAATTATATTAATGTTCCGAACATTTTTACTTTTGAGATCAATGCTGATTCACTTAATAAAAAAACTTTTTCTTATTATGACTTTAAAGCGCATTTTGTATTCATATATGGCTGAATTTGAAACTTTGAAATTCAGGAGATTTAAATCAAATCATTAAAGTAAAAGGACTATTAAGATATATGTATTAATTGTATATGAACACTATATCTACATATATAAATAGCAATTTGAATAAGTAAGGTCTACGGAATTTATTACTAAAAAACGATTTTCGTTATATATGGCGAGAGCTGTATTAACCGAAACTAGAAAATTATTATTCATAAACCTAACACTTACATCATGTATTTTATCATAAGTTGGAGACGCTCGTTTACTATACCTAAAAAAAAAGAAAAATGAATTTTTATTTTACATTTTCTTCTTTTTACTCATTCAAATTCAAAACTTGAAATTTCTATATATGCTAGTGACTCATGAAACGACTTTAAGTGGCAAAGTAAAATAGTTATCAACAATGAATGGATTTTAGATATATTTTTACGGAAATTTATTGCATAATGGACGGTTCTACAGCTGTCTGCACTTAATTACATGCGCAATAGAATTTGGTGAGAAAAACAAATAAAAATAAAAATATTATAGTATGACCAAAATTTGATGCTTTTATTCTTCCATTTCATAATGCGTCTATAACTACCATCTCCAAGATAATCTTGAATGCATAACGATGAAAATTTGCTTTATATGACGATTTTAGGATTGTTTTTTGGATTACATTTACTAATACGTATCACGATAAAAATTTGAAATTCATAGTGTAAATGTAATACGTTATATTTGAACAAAGAATGTACTCGGTATGCAATCATTATAAAATTAGGTTGATTTCTTGTCAAATTTCGAATATATTTTTTCTTATAAAGTCCGATGGTTGTTCTTTGGTATACTAGTGATATCAAAGATAAACTTTAATAAGAAAAGATGCGTTTATATCTAAGAAGTCCATAAGGAATGGAAATGAATACTTTATAAATATATTTGGCTCACAAACTTTGTGAGCCTTGATATATGTTCTAATTAAACGAAAACTTTTTCCATTTATTTGATTCCTTCGACACATTTTCATTTAGGCGCTTGTTGTCCGTTAACATCTTTAAAATCAATTATTTATTAATTAATGATGGTATACGATATTTTGAAACGTTATTAATGAAAAAAATACGTTGTGTGATTTCTTTAAGTTTGAATTTTCAGTGTCTTATTCATTCACAATATCACTATCTAACGTTAATGGGACATATGCTGACATTGTAAAACAAAACAAATAATCATTTGTTGATTTGGCATCGATGTCAAGAGTCGTATATGCTAGAATTTTGTGTAAACAAGTACCTTTTAGTATATTGACAATGATACTGTATTTTTTGAAAAATAATGAATTTATCTTGATTTAGTACATGCAAATTAAAAAGTTTGTAGAACCTAAATTATAAATGGGATATGGTACGAAATCCCGAATTACGAAATCCAGAAATATCGAAAGCCCAAAAGATCGAAATCCCGAATCATGAATTCCCGAATGGCATCCCGAATGCACGACATCCCGAATACACGACATCCCGCATGAACGATATCTCGTGTGATAATTTTAGTATTTCATAGGATACATGTATTCAACTTTCGGGATTTCGTATATTCGGGATGTTATTCATTTGGGATGTTATTCATTCGGGATGTCGTTCATTCGGATGTCGTTCATTCGGGATGTTGTTCATTCGGGATGTTGTTCATTCGGGATGTCGGTTTAAATGTCATTTTGAAATTACAAAATACATCACGTTAAATAAATATCTCAATGAAAACATGACATCAACTTCTGGCGAATCGGCATCGAATATTATAGTATAGGCAAATTCTGAATGAGAATATGCAAAGAACTGAAGACGAATTCTGTAGCGAAAGATAGTGGTAAGTTCTGAGAGAAAAATTGCATCGAATTGCTGAACACACGTACATGTACATGTAATATTTTTGCGGATTCACAGGCAACTGTCTAAAGAAGAGATTGTCATTAATATTATATTAAAGTAATGAAATTAACTTTTTACCTGTATGACAACCCTTTTAACTATAAAACAACTCGTTCTGTCTTACTAAATAAAAAAATAACCAGTATTTGTTTCTTATTTTTTATCTATTTTTTCCTGAATAAAATTGTTATAATATAAAGAATCTTTGCTCAAAGCTATGAAATTCTCGTAAGTGATCGTCATTTATCTTATGTCCATTAATACATGTATATCGCTATCGCTATTGATTTATGCTTGTAGTTTTAGAATTCATAATTGACTGCCACGCTATTTCTTAAAGATTTTAGATCTAGAGAAAACAGAACGTGACAAAATAGTGAGAGCTTCGACTGAATGATTTACGAAAGGTGGGTTCTCGATCCGTTCTAAAGGTCTCCCGTGGTAGTTTTTGCGAGAACTACTACTTAAACGACGGTCGGCGACGGGAAGAATTATATCTATCAGAGTTTGACGGGCACAATCGGTTGGTTCACGGAATTCCTAGTAGTTTTTGCTAACTACCAACACAGGAAGAAAAAATAGGACTTATTGATACGGTCAACAAACTAAAAGAATTGAGCATCAAACTAAAAGATTCATCTGGACTTATTCAAACGCCAGTAAACAAGATCTTTTTATCGAGAAATATGGTTTATTTAAAGTGAAATTCTTCCACTTATCAATTTTTAACACAAAAGGAATAAAAGCTACTTGTATGCAAGTGCGGGTAACAACAAAAATATAATTATGAATTATTATTAACTTCTTTATTAAGGCCAAAAACGCGCCTTTATATACATATGAGCGAGCACTTATGTTAAAGTATTTCTAATGATATGCTAAAGAAAACTATACAATGATCCATTCACCGTTTTTCTATCATTATTGAAGATTTCCGGTAATACTGAAAGAGTTCTACACAGGATGAATTAGGCTTGCGGAAAGGTTATTATTAGACGTCTGTCAATAATGAAAGTAACTTCGAAAGGATTTTAGCTATTATAACTTAGAGTGAGAAAAGTATCAATTGTAAATTGTGAACAATTATGGTAACAATCACTTAATTGTTACGAATTTGGCAAAGAGAAGCGGGACTCATTGTTATTCGTGAATGAAATTATAATGCGGGTTATCCATTAATTATGTACGAATATACGTGGGGTGGTTGAAAAGTTTTGATCGTGCGGCTGTATCTTAGCGAAAATCAGTCTAATCTAAAAATGGAAAATGCAGTTTGACGTGCATCAATTCAAGGAACAAAGAAAAAAACGCCGAAATTCATTCACCCCGTTGTCGAAAAATCGATTTTTTTTACACCTTACCAAAGCAATTGGCCAAAAATGAATAACAAGGACCAGCGTTTCTACACTTTCGTTCTTGGAAGAATGACCGTGACGCAACTGAAATCCACAACGAATTAGTCAATGCAGTAAGGGAACAAGTACTATCGATTGTCACAATTAGACGCTGGATTGCTAAATACAAGGATGGAGAAATAGATTTTGATGACAAGCCTCGTTCTGGACGTCCTCGCGAAGTGGTAACGTCAGAAAAATTGCAAAGGTCCAAGAACTTGTAGCCAATGATCCGCACAATATTACCCGAAGGTTGGAGGAGGAAGCGGGTATATCCCATGAAAGAATTGTGCACATTTTGCATAACGAATTGGACTTGCACAAAGTTTGTGCAAAATTGATTCCCCACAAGCTTTCAGCAGAGCACAAAGAAAAACGAGTTGAAATTTCCAAGCCACTACTAGAAGTTCTTGAGCAAGGCTATAATAATATCATTATTTGGGGACGAAACATGGATGTATTTTTTTACCATTTCAAGCAAAGAAAGTAACAAAATTTGGCTGAAAAAAGGGGAAAGAAGACCTCAGATCGTCTGAACGGCACAAAATTCAAAAAAAGAATGTTTTATTTTTTTTTTCTGCAGATGGCATCGTGGCAAGAATAGTGGTCAAAAAAGATCAACGGTTAATGCCAACCTTTATAGCAAACATATTCTTCCAGAAGTTTTTTTCTAAGTTTATGGAAAAAAAGAAAGAACAACTGTAAGAGATGTTATGACAATGCTGCGCCACACAAGGCAGGCATTATTACTGAATATCTCAGCAAGGAAAGAGTCAAACTTCTTCCCCATCCGCATTATAGTCCAGACCTAGTCCCTTGTGATTTTTACTTATTTCCCAAAATCAAAAATGAACTGAGTGAAAAAAGTTTTAATAGTATTGAAAACCTTTTAAGAACTATCCAGAAAATCACTAAAGCAATCTCTAAAGAGAAATATTACAAGTCATTCCAGAATTGGCTGAATTGGCTGTAGAGATAGAGAGAGAGTACTTCGAAGAAATTAATAATTACTTTGTTGATTATTTATTGGATTTATCAAAATAAAAATACATGATCAAAACTTTTAATATTTCACATAGTTATATAATAATTATTAAGAAAGCAGATTAATGTTAAGAAATTACTAAATATTAATAATAGTTTCTGTTTTGAATATTATTATAAAGTTTATTTAATTATTTGATACTGTTAATTTTCACAAGCCAATTATTATGAAATCAATTTTTAATAATATTTATCACAAAAGTATAGAGATATTTATCAGATAATTTTTGAAAGAAGAATATTCAGACCAAAATTATGTCTTATATAGCCAATTAAATATAAGAATTTATTATATTAATATATAATTCTATATTATATAATACTGATTAAGAATTACAAAAATTATAGTAAAGCTGAGTTACTTCTATATTATATAATACTAATTAAAATTACAAAAATTATAATAATATCAAGTAATAATAGATATTATAACTGTTATAATATAATAATATTCTATTTGTTATAATATTGCAATTTAAAATTATTACTAATTATAATCTGATAATACTTATTTATTATAATATTATAATAATTAAGAAGTTATCTTTAATATTTTATTTATTTAAATTAATTAAGTATTATAAGAATTATAAATATATCAAATAAAAAATCAAAAAAATTCTTATAAAATTATTTTTTAAATCTTTATTTAATATATAATTAATAATAATAAAAACTTCTTTATATATTATATCTGAAGATGAAAATATAAAAAAATTATTAATGATAATCAAGTTTAAGATTATCTATTTTATTATTTTTTGAATATTAGAATAAATAAACTTTATTTTTAATAAGAAAATGTAATAATTAAAAAATATTTATTATATAAAATAAGAATATCTAGTATAAATATTTATAAAAGAGATAAAAGATAAGTATTATATTTAGAAACTTTAAAAAAATCAAAAAAATCTAAAATATAAATATATTGTTACCATAGTAACATAAAATTCCTTAATTCCTTAATTTTTTCCTAGTTATGAAATATTATATTTTATTATAATTTTATTTATTTTATAATTATTCTTGTTTTCTATATCATTTATTACTATATTTATTATCACATTTCTATTTTTGATACTATATTTTATTTGGGATCTATATTTTTATTATTT